ACAGCTCTAGACAATACACTTGATTAGCAAAGATATTTTAGGAAAAATAATTCTTATTTATTACAAATAACTAACTTAACTTCTTTCATTAATCTCCTTAAATTAGTCAACTAGCTCTTGTAATTAATTCTTAACAGCGAACATGGTGAAAGAATAAGCTTACAAATGAGATGAAAAATATCTTTATGAATATGAATATGAATATTATAATTTCCTACCTATTTTAGAGATGAAACGGTGACGATTATCTTCCACTACTTCGTCACTTTTGCTAAGAACAAAAAATAGGCGTTTTCTGTTTCTCTATCTGAATAAGAAAATATACATGACGATTTTTTTTTAATTTAAAACCAAGATACCGTTGCTATTAATTTTTACATATTTATTATTTTTGACAAGTTTTAATTATATTTTTAAATAGCATATATTGGTTAAAAATATCTTATAAAAATGAGTAGAAGGATTTTTTTTAGTTTTGTAATTTTTTCCATGTAATTGGATTGCATGCTCTTCAAAAAAAAATGTAAAAAAAGATCTTGAAAATTAAAAAATTGTATAATGACACATTCACAAAATTATTGTTATTTGCTTATCAATTGTTGTCAGAACTAATACTAATACTATAACAGGTTTTTATCTACAATTTTTTATTTTTAAGGTCTTTTTTTACAATTTTCTCTACTATCTATTTAATTGTTTCCTATTTAATATTTCCCCGTAAAACTTCAATGGTGTCTAAATATCATACATGCGTGCAGGGTTGTGCGTATTGAAAGTTTGGATGACACCCCAAACCATGGTTTTGGCTCCAAAACCATGGTTTTGGAAAAAACAAAAATTTTTTACTTTTGGAAAAAAAAAGGGAGAGTGTGAGAGCCTATAGGATATGTATTTGTTATTTTTTATAAACATATTTAATATTTATTTTATAAATATATATACATATTAATTAATTATTAATTATATTATCTTATGTATATTAATTATGTTGGTAAAAAAAATATTATTAACAATTTTATTCCTTCAAATTAAAATATATCATAAAATCTTTTTTTCTGTAATTATCATATTAACTTATGTCTTTTTTTTAGTAATTTGTATATATAAAAAGTGCTTCTGATAACAACTATCCAAACACTCTTACTTCTCAGAATCACTTTTTTACAGAATCTATTCTCTCCAGAATCTATTTTCTAGAATCACTTTTCTAAACCACGGTTTGGTTTCATCTAAACAGACCCTGAATCTGATGGAAAAAGGAGAAAAGGTTGAATTACTGTTTCTGATCGCGTGATATGAAGTCGCGATTTCTTTTTTTTTTTTTATTTAAAAAAAAGATATGAAGTACCGATGTTAAGAAAATGAAAAATAAACATTCCCACACCTGATGCGCATCCAGCACGCTTAGATGTCTTATACGTCACGATACATATTGCATGTTTTAACATTTGTATTATAATTTTTTAACGACATATTTCCATGTTACTTTAGAAATACTTGTTTAGAATTCAAGATTCTCGCATGCTTATTTGCATGTTGAAATATCAAAACACATGTCATATACTGTTTTTTTTTAATACAAGAGCTAGTTGACTGGTTTAAATTGATTAAACAAATTTATTAAGTTAGTTATTTATAATAAATATATGGTATATTTTATAGATTAACCTTATTGATCATATGTATCGGCTAGAACTGCTATTTGATAAAATATTTAATATAAATAATTACTATAAAGATTATTTTAAAAAAATAGATAAATATAAGAAACAGAATGTATTAAAATTTGGAAAAATGACAAATAAAGACCCTCCAATATGCAAAATGATGGATAGGTCATCTGAATAAGTGAAATTACTCACAAGGATGGGGTCTCAAATTGCCATTATGAAATCATAGGTAAATTACCAAAATACCCCTCTTTAATTTTTTTTTTTAAAAAAGAAAGCCACTGCCTCTCCCGAATCCGGCTGTCGGAGTCCAACCACCTCGGCTGCCTGCCGCCGGAGCTTCGATGCCGGCGGCCGGTTCCAACCACTGTCAGCAGCCTTCCTTTGTTTTTTTTTTTTTTAAATAGGGGCGAAGTGAGGTTGGGGGATCAAATCCCCCCAACCTAATGCTTTCCAAAATTAGGAATAACCATTGAGTCAACAATTTTTCATTAACATTATGATGCAAAAACAAATATAAGCTAACTCATTTACTCTTGTTCCAGGTGATAACAACAATACATTTGAAAATAACAAGTTCTGATTGTAAAATAGTACGTCTGAAATGAAAATTTAACAATATGTTTTTTTTATAACAACAAATTTTGTTACAAGTGATAACAACAATACATTTGAAAATAACAAGTTCTTATTATAAAATAATAAGTATGGGATTAAAATTTAACAACACGTTTTTTTTATAACAACACACTTTGTTTCAGGTAATAACAATAATACATTTAGAAATAACAAGTTATGATTATAAAATAATAAGTTTGGAATTAAAATTTAACAGCACGTTTGTTTAGAAAATTATTTATATTATGATTTTGGAAAATAAATTATTTATAACTTATAGAAAATATTTTTAATATATTTATTTTTTCTAAAAAATACTTTTTAATCTATATATCTATACAACTCATTATAAATCAAACTACTTCTTATAAATTATAAATAGTACAATATATTGTAGATTAAAAATACTTTTTGATTGCTTAAATTTATAAATGAAATTTATCTCTAATTTATAATTAAAATACTATTTTATTATTTAAATATAAAAAAATATTTTTAATATTTAAAGAATGAAATAATAAATTATACTATAATATTTAAATACTTAATAATAAATTTTAATATTTAAAGAATGAAATAATATAAAAATTTATACTATAATTTATAGATTAAAAATACTTAATTATAAATACTTTATAATTTATAAGAAGTAGTTTGATTTATAATGAGTTGTACAGATATATAGATTAAAAAAATTTTAAAAAAAATTAAAAAAAAGTGTGTTGTCATTTCTCCTAAATTTTATTTATAAATCTGAACAATAAAAAAGTATTTTTAATCTATAATAAATTATACTTCAAGTTCTGATTATAAATTGGAGATAAAAATTATTTTTTTAGCAAATTAAATAGATTAAAAATACTTTTTATAAGTTATAAATAATTTATTTTTTAAAAGTATAAAATAATTAATTGTTATAAAAAAACGTGTTATTAAATTTTAATTCCAAACTTGTTATTTCCAAATGTATTGTTGTTATCACTTGGAATAAAATGTGTTGTTATAAAAAAATGTGCTGTTAAATTTTAATTCCAAACTTATTATTTTATAATCATAACTTATTATTTCCAAATGTATTGTTATTATCACTTGACACAAAGTGTGTTGTTATAAAAAAAAACGTGTTGTTAAATTTCAGTCCCAAACTTGTTATTTTCAAATGTATTGTTGTTATCACTTGCAGCAAAATTTGTTGTTATAAAAAACATATTGTTAATTTTCATTCTAGATGTGTTATTTTACAATCAGAATTTGTTATTTCCAAATGTATTGTTGTTATCAGCTGGAAAAGAGTAAATGAGTTAACTTATTATTTTTTTTATATTATAATGTTAACAAAGATTTGTTGGCTCATGATCATTCTTAATTTTGGGAAGCATTAGGTTGGAGGATCAAATCCCCCCAACCTCACTTCCCCCTGTTTTAAAAAAAAAACAGTTGCAAAAAAAAAAAAACAAAAGAAGGCCATCGGCAGTGGCTGGAACCGGCCGCCGGCATCGGAGCTCCGGTGGCTGGCAGCCGGGGTGGTTGGACGCCAACGTCCGGCGACCGGAGCCCTGGCAGCGGAATTCCGAAGAGGCAGTGGCTTTCTTTTTAAAAAAAGAAATTAAAGAGGGGTATTTTGGTAATTTGGCCATGATTTCATAAGGGCAATTTGAGACCCAATCCTTGTGAGCAATTTCACTTATTCAGGTGACCTATCCGTTATTTTGCATATTGAAGGGTCTTTATTTGTCATTTTTCCTTAAAATTTTATATTTATGATCAAATTAAATATCAAACTAGTTTTTATATTAAAGATATAAGTGAAATGTTTTTGTGCCCCTACCATGATATTTCGAGAATTGTTGCATCTACCATATCATGCTGTATCATATATGGTACCCAATTACCTGTATCGATGTTTCCTAGCCTTTGTGTCGCGAAGAAACCACAGAGGAATATAGTCTTTACATGTACACACACATTACTGATTTTAATTTAATATTAAATATAAATTTATCTTATTTTTTTTTATTTATCCACCTTTTAAAAAAGTTTTAATAATAATTGCAAATTTATTTCATCAAATAGTAGTTATAGTTAATACACATTATTAGTAAAGATATTTTAAGAAAAACAACATCTATTTATTATAAATAACTAACTGAATAAACTTTCTTAACCTATTTAAATTAATTAATTAACTTGAACTACTAGAATATTATTCCATGTTTATATGATTATTATTCCTCCACGGCCAAATGCCTGACAAGTGAATGTTTCGATGTGTGTTGGAAAAGTGATCTACAAATGTTATTCACCGATTTCCAATTTCCAAGCAAGAGATAGAAAATTTGGGGAAAAAAAAGGAGAGAGACATAAAAAATATCGAATTTATGCCAAAAAAAAAAGAATTTACCTAACTGCAGAAATTAACTCGTCAGGATGAAAAACTAAAATCCCTCGCTGGGTTTATGTTGTTTTTGTTGGGGGATTCTATCCTGCGGTTTACCTGCTGCGCCGTCACCCGTCAATGTGTGTGTTTTGTTTTACTAAAGATTTTTGTCAATCTAATAACTAGAGAAAAGGGAAGAGCAAAGAGGAGAGATACTTGTTTCCTTGAGCCTATTTAATCCGCACGTCAAGTCAGATGAGGTGGGGTGATTTTTTATTTTATTTATTTAATAAAATAAATAATGATTTTTTACTTATTTATTCATTGGGTCAACAATGATACTGCGAATCAAAGCCGTCCGTTGCATTCCAATCACGCCAAAAGTCCCGCAATCCCAGTGCCATTACTCGCATCCCGAAGAAAGGAACAAGCAAAAGAAATATCCTTCGAAGCTCTTAAAAAAGCTCCAACAATGGCCAGAAAACTCCCCGCATTACTCAGTAGCCTCGCCCTTCTTTCCTATTCACATCCTTGGCCGCCGCCAATACACCGGTTTCTCTCGGACTCTCTCTCCGTCCTCATTGGGCCTCCGTAAGGAGAAGCTGAGCCACCTTCACTTCTACTTCCACGACATCGTCAGCGGACGGAATCCCTCCGCCGTGAAGGTGGCGGAGGCCGCCATGACCAACACCTCCTTAACGGGGTTCGGGCTGGTGGTGATGGCGGACGACCCGTTGACGGCCGGTCCGGAGCCGGGGTCGAAGCTACTGGGTAAAGCTCAGGGAATATATGCGTCGGCGGCGCAAGACGAGGTGGGGTTGTTGATGGTGATGAACTTTGCGTTCGTGGAAGGGAAGTATAATGGTAGTAATCTGAGCTTGTTGGGACGAAACAAGGTGTTCAATAAAATTCGAGAGATGCCGATCGTCGGCGGGAGCGGGCTTTTCCGGTTCGCACGCGGCTACGCTCAGGCAAAGACCCACACCTTTGATCTGAAAACCGGCGACGCCGTCGTGGAATATAACGTCTACGTGTTCCATTATTGATGATTCTTGTTGGTTAATTTTCGCTTTCTCCTTCAGCTCGGAGTCCATCTCCCTGAGTAGTATTCTTTGTCGCTTTTGCCTTTCATCTCCTTGTCTTTTCTGGAAATGCGGTGGTCCGTGCCTTGGGTTCTCCTTGGCAGTGGGATCGAGATTCTCCCCACTGATATCGCGTGAAGTTTGTAGAGACAAATTATTCCTCCCTTTCTCCCGTCTAGTTTAGCTTGAAGCTATTTAATTTAAAGTGATTCTAATACCCTGTGCGCTTTTCTATCTTTGGCTTTTCTTCATAATGCTTGCTAGCTAGACGTGTGGTCCTTGATGCAAAATCATTAGTTTAATATAAGATGTTCTATATAATTACAGACATATGCATCGCTTCGTATTTGTGCCCAGTTATCATCTCAATATTTTTTTGACCAGAAGTTATTATCTCAATATTTGAATCTCAGGCAATCGATATATTATATATGCACCGTAAATCAGAAGTTAATTTTTTTTTTTTAATTATTGAAACTCGGTGCAAAAGTTTCAATCATTTCACATGTCCCCTGTAATGTTTGCTGGTAGTTAGATGAAAATTGTAGGCTTGGAGTTCTATAGATCTTCGGCTTGGACTATCATCATCCTTATTTTTATTATTGGTTCGCGGTTGTGTCCGTTGTGGACGTACTGTAATGAACTGTTCAAACGTGACGAGATGGAGAGGCCCCGGCTATCCTCTCTGGACAAGGCAATCTCATCTGAGACGGACGCCAAGAAGGAAAACTGACTCTGACTCTGAACTTGACTTGAACAGACAGATGAAATTACATTTTTAAATGAGTGGGTTGTCATTTGTCAGGCCATGAAACTTATTGGGTTGACGCACGAAAATATTTAATCTCAGTGATTTTTACTTTTAATAAAGCGAATTGTATGGCTTAAATTACAAGTTTTCTAAATAAAAGTAATCTTAGCAAGAGGCAATGGATTGATGTGGAATCATAGCTGGTGCGGATAAATGCCATTTTGCCTATAAAAAAAAATAAAAGAAAAAGAAAAAGAAGGCACGGATGGAATGCCGTTATTATTGTTTTTTCCAAAGTTAATTTTTGTTTATTTCCTAAAATTAGATGCACACTTTGCCAATATTAAAAAACTAATCTCTTCTAGCAATAATGACAGATGGGCTGTTTCTTAATTTATTCGATATGTGTATGTTTTTCTTTGTGATCATGGTTCTATGGTTGAAATCACTCATGTTGGCAAAAGAACACGGGGAGAAAGAGAGAGAGGAGAGAGTGAGGGGTTGAGGTTGCAGGCGTATGCGTCCAATGGTCCCTTTTTTTTTTTTTTTTTTTTCCGCCGAGGAAAAGGCAAAATGGGTCCATTTCCATTTGACAGTGGGTTAGGCTGTTGGCTAAATCGTCGCTCATCATGGAAACTAATAACTAATAAAACAATTAATTGGCACGATAATCGTACGGCATTGGTTGATGAGTAATTGGGAATCAAGCGTCAGCCACGAGCAGCCGGTAGGTATCTCGTGGCTACAGATGCGTTCAGCAAGTTAACTTATGCGCGGGTCATCTGTTCCATATTATCCCCTGGAAGCTATCTCGTGGGGATAGTAAGTACTCACAAAATCCTACACTTTATTGTCAAAAATTTAGCAAGATACTGCTACTAATTATTCTGTTGATAATTTTACTCGATAATGATAACAATATCTTGGCCAACAAAATAATTATAATGATAAAGTATCCACTAGGGAAAAAAAAAAGATGTTTCAGTTCAATGCTGCTACATTGGCAAAATTTGACGTTTGTTAGCTTCCTCGACAGCGGCAAATGTTTTCTTTAGAGGGAGGAGTACTGCCCTCTATTCCATCTTTATTGATATACACGTGAGTCAACAAGCTCGTAGTTAGTGTAAAATATCATTATAATTATATACTGCGTCTGCTCCTTAATGTAAAAATTAGCTGAATAACACGAGTAGATTAGAAAAATTAGTTAAATCATTTATTTGTAATAAATAGGCATCGTCTTTCTTAATATATCCTTGCTAATCATATACATTAGTTAGAATTACCATTTGACAAAATATTTAACAAGTGTAACCATTACAAGGATTACCTTAAAAAAAGAATAAATATGAGAAAAAAATAAATTGAGATCATATCTTTAGGATCAAATTAGATGTCAAGTCTGCTTTTATACTAATTATTAAATACTGGTGGTAGTATTATATAATTTATGCTCATTAAATCCTCATTCCTGCGCTGGCCAAAAAAAAAAAAATCCTATCATGCTTAGAAAAAAAGTTAAAAATACTACGTTCGATTTTTAATATAATATCGTATTTGACTTTTATTTTAATTCTAAATATAAAACATAAATTTATTTTGTCTCTTGTATTTATTTATTTTTTTTAAGGTCGTAAGTTTAACAGGAAAAGCACGGCAAGTTAAACAATAAAAGCTTTGAAACAAAGGATATATAAAGTATAAACTAGCAGCAGATACGGGACAAAGGGAGTAATATAAAAAATGCAAAAAAAGAAATATTTTTTCTGAAAATTAGGTTATGACTTGTGAGAAGGAGACCCACTGTTCTGATGGATAGTGCCCGACTTCCCGTTAGTCATAAAAGATTGACTGAGCAACCATCCCCCAAAATATTTAACATGCACAGATGAATATTGCCAGAGGATTAAAATATATTAACTGTCATTTTCTTCGACAAGAAGAAAAAAAGATGGGAAACGGCTGTCATACAGCTTACCTCAGGCTGGGCTAGCTGCTGGGTTTGTACGAGGCCCATTTGATGGTTCTTCGGGTGGAGAATTACAGAACGAGCCCAGCAGCGCCTCTGATCGAAACTTCGAGAGTCCCACACCTCAAGGACAGCAGGTTCCCTCCAGTCTTTAATAAGTTTATATTTATTTATAAATAATTAAGCGATTAAAATTTGAAGGTATGATAGAAGAGGGGTTAACGTTTGGGTTATATAAGAAGTTATTTGTAGAAATAAATTATAAGTACTATATTGAAAATGAAGGTAAATTTTGGTAAGACAGATTAGGTTGTTATGGATTAAATACGAAGGGCTAACTTTAAAAAAATAATTTTAAAATATCCATTAACATCCAGTGTGTGACCATATTGTGTCCACTCTTTATTGAAAGACAACGAGTTTCTGTGTTAATGTTGTTGTAAAAAAAAAAAATCAGTATATTTGTAAATAGATAATTAAGATCGTATTTGTTAAGATAACATTTATTACTGCTTATAAAAATATAATTAATTATTTTATATTTCAAATTTTCTCTTCTTTTTTTTTTTCGTAAAAAATATTTCAATTTTTCTCTTAAAAGGGAATAGCTGTAAGAAACGGAAAACTCTACTGTTCAATCTCGCGCCCGATTAGCGAATTCAAGTTGTTGCTCGCGCCTTCATTAATTCCAACGGACATGTAAACCGCGCCTGCCACCTCTTATGTGAAACCCTAAATCCCAACGGTTATCTGATGGCCGCGCCGACCTTCGGGAGTATTTATTAGCAGTGTCTGAGCTATCCCTTATGTCTTAGCGTCTTAGCTATCTCCCTAACAAATTTTGCAAGTCATTGTTGTTCTCTTTTGGTTTCCTGCAATTCAGAGAAAAAGAAAGCGGTGATAGCTCTTGAAAATAATTGTATTGCGTTTACTAGCCTAGATAGGTGCGGCTAAACTCGATCTGGAAAACAATTCTTTGCCGTTTCGTCACTGTCCCGACTCTTCTATGCTGCGCTTACGTTCTTTGTGGTCTCCTTAATTCGTTCATCTTGGATTGTTTGTTTGATTCTTAATACCCATTATATCATGGAAGCATCTTTATTTTTGTTATTATTAGTACGGCACAATATTTATTCAAGAGTCTATTTTATTGCTGAAATCTACTTTTGTGATGTTGTAATATTCTTGATATGCTACTGTTCTTTTCATGTTTTTTGATCCTGGAAGAACATGAAAATGAACTGCCTCATATACTTTGATCAAGACTCAATGATTAATTAGGGCGTATTTGGTCTGGTCCATTGATGCTTGTTGAAAGTTTGGTCTCTTGAGTCTGAATTTTGGGTATCAAAGCAGAGACAGATCCAAATGAACGTAAAACATGGTTTATAGTCAAGTTACATATTGGAATTGCATGCTTCGGTGGTGCTTATTTCCTTGTGGAATAAATTATGTTCAATTATGTGATGTTAGATTATCATATTTCAGGCCACAGTTCATACTTTTGTGTATTCTCAATTGCTGCTTTAACATATATAATTCTTTCATTACCTATTTACAATCCATTGAACAGCGTTTGGGAAACCTGCGGTGGTGAATATTTGAAAACGGGAAATTCACTTGAGCTTTACAAGCAAAGCTACCTTGATATCATTTTCATGCGCGCCTTTTGGTCTATCAAAAAAGCATGTTTGACTTATATGTCTCATTTGATGACTAATTTTGCTGTGGAAAAATATACTTATAGGGGTTAATTTTTTTATGTTTGCTTTAAACTATTCATATCTTTTCGGTCTGTAGCCCCTCACATACGTGCTATATACATCCTTTTTGGAAAATTCCTTTTGTACGCACACTTGAAAAGCTTGATGATGGTTGCATCGTTTGATGCTTGTTATGAATGTCTGCATGCAAAAGTGGGTAAATTGGCAGTGATTTGTATGCTTCACCTTGACCTGCAAAGCTGTCATGACATTCTTTACATGCATGTCATGAGATCTCTCAAAATGGATAATGGCTTATCAGAGAAGTGGCAATATTTTGAAATGAAATCGATGCCTTTAGCCCTGGGATTTGAACAGGTATTTGAAATGCACTCCTACGAGGCTCAATGAAATTCATATCATTTGATGCCTAATCTAAACGTGCAGAAATTTACTCATGGGAGGCTACTTTTGATATTTGCCTTAGACTATCCATGTCTTTTGGCCAGTAGCCCCCTTACATGTACGCTAAATATGTCCATTCCATGTTGTTTCGATCTGTCGCCCCTCTTACACGTGCTATATACATCTTTTTTGGAAAATTCCTTTTATAAGCACACTTGAAAAGCTTGATGATGGTTGCATCATTTGATGCTTGTTATGAATGTTTGTATACAAAAGTGGGTAAATTGGAATTGACATGTATGCTTCACCTTGACCTGCAAAGCTGTCATGACATTCTTTACTTGCATGTCATGAGATCTCTCAAAATGGATAGTGGCTTATCAGAGAAGTGGCAATATTTTGAAATGAAATCGATGCCTTTAGCCCTGGGATTTGAACATGTATTTGAAATGCACTTCTACGAGGCTCAAAGGAAATTCATATCATTTGATGCCTAATCTAAACGTGCAGAGATTTACTCATGGGAGGCTATTTTTGATTTTTGCCTTAGACTATCCATGTCTTTTGGCCTGTAGCCCCCTTACATGTATGCTAAATATGGCCGTTCCATATCTTTTCGATCTGTAGCCCCCTTTTACACATGCTATTTACATCCTTTTTGGAAAATTCCTTTTGTAAGCACACTTGAAAAGCTTGATGATGGTTGCATCATTTGATGCTTGTTATGAATGTCTTTATACAAAAGTGGGTAAATTGGGATTGATTTGTATGCTTCACCTCGACATGCAAAGATGTCATGAGATCTCTCAAAATGGATAGTGGCTTATCAGAGAAGTGGCAATATTTTGAAATGAAATCGATGCCTTAAGCCCTGGGATTTGAACATGTATTTGAAATGCACTCCTACGAGGCTCAATGAAATTCATATCATTTGATGCCTAATCTAAACGTGCAGAAATTTACTCATGGGAGGCTACTTTTGATATTTGCCTTAGACTATCCATGTCTTTTGGCTGTAGCCCCCTTACATGTATGCTAAATATATCTGTTCCATATATTTTTGAGCTGCAGTCCCTTTACACGTGCTATATACATCCTTTTTGGAAAATTCCTTCCGTAAGCACACTTGAAAACCTTGATGATGGTTGCATCGTTTGATGCTTGTTATGAATGTCTGTATGCAAAAGTGGGTAAATTGGCAGTGATTTGTATGCTTCACCTTGACCTGCAAAGCTGTCATGACATTCTTTACATGCATGTCATGAGATCTCTCAAAATGGATAGTGGCTTATCAGAGAAGTGGCAATATTTTGAAATGAAATCGATGCCTTTAGCCCTGGGATTTGAACATGTATTTGAAATGCACTCCTACGAAGCTCAATGAAATTCATACCATTTGATGCCTAATCTAAACGTGCAGAGATTTACTCATGGGAGGCTACTTTTGATATTTGCCTTAGACTATTCATGTCTTTTGGCTTGTAGCCCCCTTACCTGTATGCCAAATATGTCCGTTCCATATCTTTTCAATCTGTCGCCCCTTTTACACATGCTATATACATCTTTTTTGGAAAATTCCTTTTGTAAGCACACTTGAAAAGCTTGCTGATGGTTGCATCATTTGATGCTTGTTATGAATGTTTGTATACAAAAATGGGTAAATTGGGATTGACTTGTATGCTTCACCTTGACCTGCAAAGCTGTCATGACATTCTTTACATGCATGTCATGAGATCTCTCAAAATGGATAGTGGCTTATCAGAGAAGTGGCAATATTTTGAAATGAAATCGATGCCTTTAGCCCTGGGATTTGAACATGTATTTGAAATGCACTCCTACGAGGCTCAATGAAATTCATATCATTTGATGCCTAATCTAAATGTGCAGAGATTTACTCATGGGAGGCTACTTTTGATATTTGCCTTAGACTATTCATGTCTTTTGGCCAGTAGCCCCCTTACCTGTATGCCAAATATGTCCGTTCCATATCTTTTCAATCTGTTGCCTCTTTAAAGGTGCTATTTACACCCTTTTTGGAAAATTCTATTTGTAAGCACACTTGAAAAGCTTGATGATGGTTGCATCATATGATGCTTGTTTTGAATGTCTGTATACAAAAGTATGTGAATTGAGGTTGATTTGTATGCTTAACTTTGACATGCAAGGCTGTCATGACATTTTTACATGCATGCCTTGAGATCTCTCATAATGGATAGTGGCTTATCAGGGAAATGGCAATATTTTGAGATGAAATCGATGTCTTTGGCCCTGGAATTTGAACATGTATTTGAAATGCCCTCCTACGGGGCCCAATGAAATTCATATCATTTGATGCCTAATCTAAACATGCAGAAATTTACTTATGGGAGGCTAGTTTTGTTATTTGCTTTAGACTATCCATGTCTTTTGGCCTGTAGCCCCCTTTCATATATGCTAAATATGTCAGTTTTTGAAAATTTCTCTTTTAAGCATATTGCAGAGCTTAATGGTGGTTATTGAGATTGATTTGTAGGCTTGACCTTGACGTCAAAGCTCGATGACAATTGCACACCATTTGATGCTTGTTATGAATGCTTATATACTAAAGTGGACTAATTGAGATCGATTTGGAGGTTTGACCTTGACATGCATAAGAGTCATAACGTTCCTCACATGCATGCCTTGAGATCTTTCAAAATGGATATGTGGCCTATTAGAAAAATGACAGTATTGTGAAATGGAATAGATGCCTTTGACCCAATTATTCAAATGCTTAGTGCAATTCATGTATTTAACTTTGAATACAGGTATGATCTGTTTCTTTTGTTTTAATTGTCGTGCAATACAGCTATTTTGAATTCATTCTGTAAGTGCACTAAAATATTCCCCCTTTCTACTTCTTGTTAATGTTGGGTAGCAGGTATCCCGCACATCTAAAATCATGTGGGAAGACCAAAGTGGCTTACTTTTTTTTGTTGGGGTATGCATATTTTATTTTCCCATTTTATATTGCTTTACAATGATTGAGATTAATGTTGATGTAGAACTGGCATCGTTTTCATGATTCATTATCCTTCAAGTTTTTTAACGCTCGGTGGGGTAAGTTGCGCTTTAGAACTTTTTTTCCATTTTCTCTACAACATGTTCAGTGCAGATTGATTGAACAAAATAATCTTACCCTATCCTTGATTTCTATGTTTTGGAGATACATATACAGAATATTAAGCTGACCTTTTCATACCATTCCTGTATTTAACAGTTTTGCTGTTGATGAATTTTTTATGTCCACGGGTAATTAAAGGAACTAAGAATTGAAATGACAGTAATTATCGTTTTGACTGGTTAGGATTGTTTTGTAAGGATTTTGGCCCGGGGGTTCCCTTTTTCCTGGCAATTTCAGTCGTGTCATAAGAGACATATAGTGTTGTTATTTCCTTAGAGCAGTTTTTCTTTTGGTTTCTCCATGTTATTTGTTTGTGTAGGTATGGTCTAGCTCTAAGGGTCATGATTATGGGACTCTTTCTGTTTTTTAAAAAAAGGAATTGTAATTATGGTTTTCAAGTTCTTCCTTTTCAATTTCCTTTGGTTGTCTTTTAAAGCTAGAATGGCATCAGTTTTCATGAAAATCAAAATTTTCCAATTAGAGCTTAGACGGTTCCTGTTCATCAGCATATGTGAGAACATGCTACTTTGGCATGGCAGTGGATTATCAATACAATTTTATCTGATTTCAAGCAGAACTCTAGCTGTGCGAATGAAAATGAAAAGGCTCCATCAGTTGACAGCAAGTTACATGAGCCTTCTGCAATATGATGACATTAGATAGATTATTCCTGTGTTAATGTTGATATTTGCATCTAAATCATATGACAAATTAAAAATATCCGTATACTGATGATTGGACTGATTCTAGTCTTCTAAAAATCGTAAAGCATAGATGAATAGGTTTACACAGATAAAATTTAGACATGTATATAGGGAGGGGAATTCCTGTGCGGATTGCCTCGCTAGTATATGTTTTGAGTTAGAAGAGGTTTTTACTGTTTTTGATATGCCTATGAGAAAGGTAAAGGAGTAGTTGTACAAGGACTTAGTGGGAGTTGCTTTCCCACATATGATTTTGAATCAATAAGATTGGGCTCTTAGACCCGTACTATTCACACACACAAAAAAATCTGTGTATTTTGTTTGTGAATTCTTTCACCGAAGCATCCCATTATGCTCCCTCAAGTGGTTGACATTATCAAATCTCGCTTCTTAACTTCTTACTTGGCGTATTGAAGAAAATATCAGTTCTTGAACTCAACAACGGAGACTTGACAATAACTGGCAGGTGCACATACAGGGCAAATATTTACCCTTTTCACTTCAGATCTGTGCCTCTAGATGTGTCTATCATTTGAAGGTAATTCATTGGTGTATTTTGCACCGTGTTGAAATAATCTTCAATGATAATGTCTCATCATATTATCCGTGGTAAGGTAATATCTTTGCTTTTTTCCCCAATGGCGCATGAAGAATTTACTATTGGTTGGGATTTATTCCTTCTGTATGCACTTTTTTCCCTCGGCTAGGGATATATTCTTATACATACGCTTTAATCTTGAGAAGCTTGTCTTTAGATATTTAAGGAGGAGATATAGATATGATGTGCTCTTTTTTAATTTTTAGGGTTAAGGTGCGCCCAGCACCCTGAACTATTTCCTCAGGTGCATCAGTGTCCTAAAGTAATTTTTGGTGCATCCAATGTCCCAAACTAATTAAAATGATGCATCCATATCCCGGGCTAACAGAAAAGTTAAGTTTAACCGTTAGTTGACCGAAAAATCTGACGTGGCGGACACATAGGCATCTGATGTGTATTATTTTGACGAGTTAACACCCTGAACTATTTTTCCAGGTGCGTCCAGTGTCCTAAAGTAATTTTTAGTGATCTAGTTCCAAACTAATTAAAACGGTGCGTCCACATTCTAGGCTAACAGAAAAGTCTCGTTTGACCGTTACTTTGCTGATTCAGCTAAAGGCTGATCAAAAAATCCTACATGACGAACATGCAAGCGTCTGATGTGTATTATTTTGACTAAAGCTCCCGAGACGAGCCCAGTGGTGGCGGGTGTTTTCTCAGAAGGCGATGACGATGTCGATGGAATGACTAAGGAGAAGTTTACTGTGTTCTACGAGGAGGAAAGCAAATGCGAGATGGATGAGAAGTCGACAGAGATGAAGATGGAAGTGTGCTGTGACAGTGGTTGTGGTTTCAAATCGGAGTGGTGGAAGAAATGGGATAAAATGTTAAAGACGAGGATGGGATTGAATGGGTGGTACATGTATCAGGATTTAAGAGGGTGAATCGATGGTCTTTTTTTTTTTTTTTTTAAGTTTAAAAACTGGCAGAAGATAAATGTTAGAAGAGGAAGAAATAAATTGAATTTTCAGTCAAAATAATACATATCAGACACCTGCGTGTCCATCATGTAGGATTTTCGATCAACCTTCAGCTGAATCAACAAGGTAATGGTCAAACGAGACTTTTCTGTTAGTCTGAGATGTGGACGCACTGTTTTAATTAGTTTGGGACATTGGATGCACCAAAAATTACTTTATGACACTGGGCGCACCTGGGAAAATAGTTCAGGGTACTGGGCGCACCTTAACTCGTCAAAATAATACACATTAGATGCCTATGCGTCTACCATGTCAGATTTTTTGGTCAACTAACGGTCAAACTTAACCTTTCTGTTAGCCCGAGATATGGATGTACCGTTTTAATTAGTTTGGGACACTGGATGCATCAAAAATTACTTTAGAACACTAGATGTACCTGAGAAAATAGTTCGGGGTACTGGGCGCATCTTAACCCTAATTTTTAAATCGATACAAAAAATTATAAGCTATAAACATAAATAGTACGACTTGCTTGAGACATTGTATGGACAGAATAAAGAGGATGTAGTTCCCCTTTTTGTGTTCTTTTTTTAGTTTTAACTTTTATTTATACAATTACCTTTTAAATCATATGAAAAATTAATCTTTTAGTCTTTAAGTTTTGACTAACTTGTAATTTAGTTCTTGAATTTTTGACTTAATTGAAATGTAGTCTCTAATCTTTCTATCATTTGTAATTTTGGCCTTATCATCTATGAACCCATCATGAGTCAGTACTGAGGCATTCATGTGGCATCTAACTCAGCTCCACTTAGATTTTACGTAAAATGAAAAAAGAAAAAGACTGAATTGAGTTTCCTTCACTGCCGGATAAGCTACTTTTGTGATATTGTAATATTCTGGATAGGCTACTTTTCTTTTCATGTTTTTTGATCCTTGAAGAGCATGAAATTAAATTGCCTCGTATGCTTTGATCAAGATTCATTAAGTAGAGCGTGTTTGGTCTGGTCCATTAATGCTTGTTGAAAGTTTGGTCTCTTGAGTCTTAATTTTGGGTGTCACAGCAGAGAGAGATCCAAAATGAGTTTAAAACATGGTTTATAGTCAAGTTATATGTTGGAATTGTCTGCTTCAGTTGTGGTTATTTCCTTATGGGATAAATCTTGTTTGATTATGTGATGTTAGATAGTATGTTTCAGGCGACAGTTCATACTTTTGTGTATCTTCATTTGCCGCCTTGACATATATCATTCTTTCATCAGCTATTCGCGTTCCATTGATCAGCGTTCGGGGAACTTGTGCTAGGGGATATTTGAAAATTGGAAATACACTTGAACTTTACAAGCGAATCTAACTTGATATCATTTTCATGCATGCTTTCATCATCAAAAAGCATTTGGGTTATTTGAGAAATGACGTATATTTCATTTGATGACTAATCTTGATGTGCGAAAATATACTTTTAGGTGTTCTAAATTTGATGTTTGCCTTAGACTTGTGTTGTAGTTGATGTTTGTTATGAATGCTTGTATACAAAAGTGGTTAAATTGAGATTTATTCGTAGGCTTGACCTTGCCATGAAAAGCCGCCATAATGTTCCTTACACACATGGCTTGAGATCTCTCAAAATGGACATCTGGCTTATTAGAGAAATGACAACATTTTGAAAAGAGATATATGCCTTTGGTCTTGGGATATGAAATGCGCTCCTATGAGGCTTAATGAAATTCATATGCCGAATCTGAATGTGCAGAAATTTACTTATGGTGGTTTACTTTTGTGTTAGCTTCGACTCTTGTTCTTTGTTGCTTACAATCCCCCCACATATATGATGAATGTGTATTTCTGAAAAATTTTCTTGTAAGCCTCTGTTGGACACCGATTGCGTCTTCATAGACTTCAGCCTCTGCCCCAATTACTTCCTCCCTTTGGGTCACGTAGTATTCGAATTTCATGGCCACCTCATCCCTACAGTTTCTAGTTTCAAGGCTATGCGTATTGGATTGTAAGGGTAGAAGCAGGCTACGCTTTTATCAGAGTCTTGAGGCCTAGCGTATTTAAAGTCTAGCATAATCTATTTAATAAGTAAGGCTTAGGATTTAGGATATGTTTGTATTTAGGTCTATTTAGACAAGTAGGCTAAGCCTATTTTTATAAGACTTAGCCTATAAGCTTGTCTGTCTTAGTTTTTTTTTTTTAAATTTGCACTATTCTATATAATATAATACAAATTAATTTTATAAATAATTTATAAAATTGCACACATTACAATATTCCTATGTAAAATTAGTTTCCTTTCATTCATAAGTTATTCACTTTTACTTTTCTCTTTTATCGCTCAAAATGGCGATACTAGCTCACTTTCTCTTCCCTTATTTGTATTACTCCCTCCGTTTCTTATTATAAGAGACAAATAATCAAATTGCGTTGATAAAAAAAACAATTATAATTAGTTGAAGACAATTAATGTGTAAAAAATATAATATTTTTTCCAACAATACCCTATTAATAAGAGAGAGAGTATGAAAGAGAACAATTAAATTATTAAAAGAAAGAGAAGTGAGAGGGAGAGAGAGTATGAGTTGGAGACAAAATAAATAGGGGTAAAATAGGAAATCAATACAAAAAAATAGAGACAACTTTTAAGTGTCTCTTATATATAGGAACATGTCATAAGCATCAAATGTCTCTTATAATAAGAAACGGAGGGAGTATTTGCTAAAACATAATAATTGTTATACACTTATTTTAGTAATGCTTAAATGAAATATTATAATCATAATAGAAAGAGTTTGGCATAATCTATACTACCTCCGGTTTTTAATATAAGACCTTGTTTGATTTTTGTTTTAGTCCTAAATATAAGACCCCAATCCACTTTGTCTCTTATATTTATACATTTTTTCCTAAAGTAGCCCTTCTAACAATAATAATTCTAGTCAATACACTTGATTAGTAAGGATATTTTAGGAAAGACAACACTTATTTAGGACAAATAACTAACTCAACTTACTTCTTTAATCTCCTCAAATTAGTCAACTGGCTCTTATAATTAAAACCGGAGGTAGTACTAAAAACCAAAAGAGGCAAACTGTAGTTTCACATGTCACTTATTATGCTTGGTTAATTTCATAAAGTATATTTGATTCAACAATTATTGTCACTATATGTGTGTGTGTATTTTTGCCTTGCTAAACTCATATTGCAAGTGAGAATGAATTACAAACTCTTAAAAAACATAACATAGGTTTTGAAATAGGTTTAACAGGTTATATACTTACATATGAACTTGAAGACATAGATTTTTAAACCTATTTACATGTGTACATTTTAAGTAGGTTTTTAAAAAGGTTTTAGGCCTTGTCAAGTCTTTTGAAAGTTTAGGTTCAGGTTTAAATAAAAAATGTCTATATGCATGTTTAGGTCTAATCCCAGGTTTGAGATGTTTATTGCAGGCTCAAATTTATTTAGCTAAAGCCTAATCTAACTTAGTCTATTTACATCCCTGTTAGATTCTCTAGCTCTTCTTACAAGTAGAATTGGTAATATAAATTGAACATGTAAGTCCAACTAAAATTAGTGGGTTGGAGTTATCTAAAAACCAACTAGCTAGTAAATGAGTTTTTTTTTTAACCCGCAAGTTAACCTGTAATTTTTTTATTAATTATTATAATTATATTATTGTTTGCTATGTCCTATCTGAAAAACTAACAAAAATATTTATATAATTTATTTAGTGTTTTTAATCAAGTATTTAAGTGAAGAAATTCTATTATATTTTTTTATAATGTATAAAGAAATCAAATCTACCAACCCATCAATGTGGGTTAGAATTGGTTAAAAGTTAACTCGTATGCAAACAAACTTTTTTAGGTGGCACTACACAAGCTTGATTTGTTACGAGTCAGTCGACAATTTGCGGGTTGACTTGTAGTACCAATCCTGCCTTGAGCAACCTCTCATTTACAAAATTTTTTGTGTTCAACTGGAACACATCGCATAGTGTAAGGGTTTATTCAACTCTAAAAATAATAAGCACCGTATTAGAGAGCCAAAGGGATATACTATCTTTGTTCTTAATATAAGACTTCATTTGATTTTTATTTTGGTTATAAATATAAGAATCCAATCTACTTTGTCTTTCATATTTATGTCTTTTTTTTTAAGGATAATTCGAGCAAATACACTTAATCAATAAGGATATTTTAGGAAAGATAATACTCATTTACTACAAATAACTAATTTAACTTATTTTGTTAATCTCCTCAAATTAGTCAACTAGCTCTTATAATTAAAACTGGAGGTAGTATTTCATAATTAATAAAAATGGGTACGAGATAAGAAATTATATCCTATCAGTGTCATAACCGTGTTTATAATTTAATCCATGGGAATTAGTGTTGAGATATGAAATTGGCATGGGTAACAGCCGGGGCAAATAATATGAAAATTATAGAATGTGGCCTATGGTGCCGGTCTCGATGTCGCAGCATTTCAATCCAACGAATTTGTTGGATTTAAAATTTTTTGATATTATAATTTTTAATAAGAATTGAAAAGCTATGGAGTCAAAATATTTTGCATGTAATTGATATATATTTTTTAATAAATTCTAATTCTAATTGAAATATTTAAAAGCGTCGGTTGCCTCCCAAAAGATTATTGTACCTCGCCCAATCAAAAAACGATATGATTTTTAAAATTTCTAGTAGCAAATTTGCGCTCCACCTAATTAATTTAACCTCGATTTATAAATTTCTGTTAATCTAAAATGTTTGGAAGAAAAAATATTAACGAATACTACATGCTGTTGGTCAAGAAAAGAAAGCAACGGGCGCAAAATTCGTAAAATAAGATTGTGGCGTGAATAGTTTAATCATTTATTTATATAAATATTGTCATTTAAAATTCCTGATGTTATTAGTTGTGATATATCGCTATAAAAAAACTCTTCAGCAATCATTTTTGGTGTAACCAATGAGTTATGATTATCAGTTGCCAATAACTTTTGCAGAAAATAAGACTTCTAATTGAAAAAAAAAATGCGCACACATGATATGACTCAAAGGCTGTTAAAATACAGAGTTATTAATAGATCATGAAAGATATTGCCTTCGCCTCAAAATATAAGTTAAACTTTATTAAAAAATTGGTTTTTTTTATAAGATAACATTTACTTTTGTCTAGGCATTTAGCGAGTTTTTGTCCAATTTTAACCCCATATATTTTCTTTCCCTTTAATTTATTTATTACATTTTTTACTTATTCTTTTTATTAACAAGGGTCTATTTGGAAAAAAAATACATATCTTATATATTTATTGTTTTAAATTGATTTTAATTGATTTCTTGATAGTTGTCTTGTATTTTGAACCATGAGGAGTAAAATACTCGTACCAATTTAGCTAATTATGCACGTTAAAGTTCCATACTCTAACTTGTTAATGAAAAGTCTGTTTGTGTCTTACAGGGTAATCGCAAAGGTGAACCAATCCTGTAGAACAAGATATTTCTTGACGCACCCAGACTGCTCAAAACCTCCGTTCTAGGTAAAGTGATTCCTATGCGGAGAGCTAAAACGGATAAAGCAGGATTAGGGGCAGACGATGTTAGGCACTTAGGCCTAAAACATCTTTCGCTTAGATTGGTGAATCTGACTTTTCTTCTTGTGCAATCACATCCAATTGCGGATCAACCTTGACCAACTAGACCTGATAACGTTATGTGCCTAACCAAAGAGAAATTCAATTGGGACCAAAAACACAAAAAACCATTGACCCACTAGTGGTCCTCTGTGTCTGGACCCCAAAAAAATGGGTAGCTGAGCAGCTCCAAAGACTCGGTGGCCAGTGAAATGATACTTCTAGGAAGCTGGGTTCCATAATAATTAAGTGGAGGCATTTGAAAAGTAGGCAAATAGATAGGTAGTTTTGACTAGACCAAGCAAGCATATGGGTCTGCTTGATGGTCTGGCGTCTATCACGACATTGTTAACCAACATCTCTCACCGCACACCAATAGGAGGAGTAGGATATAAAGGGAAGGTGTTTTCTTGTGTTTAAAAATGAGCATGTTTGCTCAATAAGGTTACTGTATAAACTGTCAACCTCATTTACAAACTTTATTGAGGGGTGGGCCGATGTTTCTCAAATTCCACTGTTCTTTCCCTCTCTGTATGGGAAAGTAAGAAGGAGAAGAAGTGGTCCTCATTATTATGCGTCTAGCCCCTCTTCATTGTGTCCCTTCATCATCGTTGCTCCTCACATGCACTTTATATGCTGCGTTTACTTGTGGGGCCTTTTATTGTTGGGTTGACGTTAACAGTGTGGCAGTATTTTGGGACTGTCTTCTATCTCTTTCCTTTTTCTGTTTTTTTTTTGGCGGTGGGCGTTTTGGACATTTGATGACACAAATTTTATCTTTTTGAATTATTTGAATGGAAAGGCAGATTCATTATATCTTGAGCCTTTGAGAAAAGTAACCGTTATATATTCCATGACTGATATCTCTGCATGTTGAGTTAGAAAGAAGGAATGGTGGGATTTCATCTCAATTTCTTTTTTTGGATCCTTCGAGTAGTAATCATTTTGAGTTTATGAACATAATGAGCAGGATTTTTTTTTTTTAAATCTGCGTGCACTGCATTTAAGTTAACTTGAAAAATTTAAGTTAATTCTTCAATAAAATTTAAATTCTGTGGAATGTTCTTGCAATTGAATGTGTTACGGTACTGTGCTATTCTGATGAACATTGGATATCACCTAAAAACAATATGATAAATTAAAGGAAGCTAACAATAAAACGCGATCTCGTTCACTTACCACTTTTCCCCCCTTGGCTGAAAATAGCTGAGAAATCACCTGTAATTGCGAGTCCTCTGAATTCCTTTATAAGGTTGTCGAAAAATGCATTGCTATATATATTAACATAGTTCTGAAATCATTTGTTCGTGCTTGGAGTATATATACAATAATATTCTCCAACTAGAGGCTTTCAAATATATCTCAAATATCTAATTTCGAGCGGCAATAGATCCTGCGACGGGACCAGAAGAAAAGGCAGGTCTTTAAATATACGAGTATTTATGTCTGCAAATGCAACAAGATTGTCTTGTGCGGAAAAATTAATGAAATCAAGTAATACTCACCGTCATATACGATGCTGGATTGTTCATTTTCAAATTATTCTTCTTGGTGAACTGACAGGCCCGGTGGGAACCGATATATTATTCAATACTTAACTAACATTATTACATTACAGTATGTGCTCTTTTTTTTTAACCACCAGGTTATTAGTTAAAATGAATGCTCAATTTGCTTGTTGTAAAAAAAGAAAAGTTCGACTCTTCGAAGTTGGAAAAGAAAAGGGTGTGAAGAGATAGAAAACGAAGAGGACGAAAGGGAAAATAGTAACGAAACAAGTTGGGATAATGGAAGTCAAAATCACACATCCCAACAATTTCGACAAGGCCATGAAGCTTAGTTCAGCATGAGTGGGCGGTGATTGATTGCCTTTTCTTCTCTAAATTTTATAGATAGGCAATATATTGGGTAGTGCCATTGTCATATGAAATAATCTCTGACCCTTTCTTGGTGCTGCCACCATATCAAATGATTAAAGTAGACAGTTTCATCAGTACTAAACTATCAGTGTCCTCCTCATCCTCTCCTCTTTCCCCCAGAGAAGGAATCTCCCAAGTCTCACATTTCCACTCACCTAAAAACCAAACCCATCACCTAACATTAACACATCCTTGTCTTTCTCTTTCTCTCCTGTTCAGACAACCATGAAATGCAAAACATGAAGATGCCGGCCTAACTACCGCGTCCCTGTGTTCCTTAAAAGTCTCTAAAAGCGAAAAGGAAAACACGTCCCTTTTCTGAGGGGTTAGTTTCGCCATTTTAAAGCCAGCCTTTGATTTTAAGCACCTTGGTGCATGTCATTCTCTCCTCTTCATTGTTGATTATTAGTGTGACGATGAATTTAAAAACATGTCATTTTTTTGCAGCACACATCCATCACTTTAACTTTTAACAATACTCATCATCTTACAAGTAATTACTTCTTTTCATGATGTCACTTCAATTTTGAATCATACCCACAATAAGTAGATGAATAATTCTCCCCCGCCAGGTATAGATATATGGATATATCTCTCTCCTAACATAGAATTCCAAAATGTCCTTTTTGGCATTAGGACTATTCAGTTCGATATAATAATAAGCTGTTATATATGAGTCAACTTCAATCAACCCCTACCTTTGCAACGACTGTCTGCAGATAAACATGAACCTGTTGTTGCGGGATATGTTCCTTCATAATGGTAGCAAAAGACCCGCCCTAGGTCTCAATTGAACAAGGTTCTGCCTCGTACCAAAGCTAGACATATGAGACATAATCTAAAGTCGGTAGGCTTACATTCATATGATGTGTATATATATCTAATTTGAATATATAAAGATGTCTTATCTTCTCCATTTCTCTCGTTTCACTATCTGTAAATTAATTGGGGGGGGGGGGGAGTATGATTTACAAGCTAAGTGCTATTGATGTTTGGCAAGCTGCATTGCTGCAACTGCAAAATGGCATTGAAAAATCACTTTCTGTACTGCAAATTTAGAGCAGACCACTAAAACCCTTTATATAATGACTTTTCTCAACTACATTGCATTGAATCTGCAGAAGCCATGTCCTTTCTCATCACCCCATCTGTCTCCACATTATGATGGATTCACGCACACGTGTGTGTCTGGACAAAACCTTCATGCGAACCCAACTGTCTTCTACGCTTTATTATCGCCACACGTGTGAACTGTTCTATTTGCAGACCAACAAGTACGATATAATACATTGTACAGAATACGAGACGATACTACATAATTCTGCATTAGGTCTTTGGTATATGAAACTTTAACCTATTTGAACCTGGAGAAAACAGTCAAGATGGTATATGTCGTTTCCTTATTCTGCGTTTGAAATCAAGAAATGCTTAAAAGAAGTAGAGAATCCGAAGCGGAAGGCTGTTCATCAAATAAATATGGGAATAACTTGATTCATTTACATATCAATCATCTCATCATAACTAATCATTGTTAATTTCGAGAAAAATAAGAGCCGAAGTGATGTATGGGCCTTCTTATATATGGGATCAAATAGATTTCAACAAAAGAAAGAAAATTTTCACATTTCACATAGAGAAGCCCCAAACGTTATTCTTCGTAGTGAGGAGACAGTTTTCATCGTCACAGGTGAAGATCCAAACTCACATGGTCGTGAACGCCGGGTTTAGAGTCATAAACAAGGCGATTCTGCGAAGCGGAACCAGCGACCTGATGAGAAGCCCCCGCATTAATTTCGTCGCCGGCAAGCAAGGGCAACGAATGCTGTAAGTGCAACGAACGGTCGCGGTTGAAAGTAGTAGGGTTATTTTGGACGGTGGCGGGGATCCGCCACAAGGCTAAGGGGCTACCGTTGATGGGTTGCAGATGAGGATATGAGGTCGCGCTATGGCTTCCATAAAACCTGCCACCGGCAGAGTTACTATTATGCCACGGGGGGTACGGGGCAGAGCCGAGCCGGTAGTTCATGAGGCCATAGACATGAGAGGCGGCGTCGACGGACGGGCCATTGTGCCCCATGGCGGACTGAAGGTGGGCTCGCTTGGCGTGCTGACGCTCCCGTTTATGAGCGTTTTGGTGGCCACCTAAGGCTTGAGAGGTGGGGAAGTTTCTACAACAGTAATGGCATTCGAATCGGCGGCTAGTTTCAGCGTTGTCGGCGGCGGCGGCGGCGTCCTTGGAATCGAGATCAAAAGCATTATTGTTGGCGGTGGTAGCGTCGGAGGAGTGGGCATCATCGGCGGCAGAAGGAGAGTCGGCGTTGGGGAATTCAATGCCGAAAAGCTTAACAGGCTTCTCTTTGAGAGGAGGAGGACGGATAAAAGGGAGCTGCGAGAAAGACTGAACGTTCATGAAGTCATGAGTCTCTCTGTCCGACTTGTCCATGAGAGAGGGAGAGAGAGGGAAACGTGTGTGTATATATGAATGAGAAAGAGAGGAGGGATAGAGTTCAGGGGAAGTGATGTGAGAATTAATTAGGTGAACGAGGAGGAGGAGGAGGAAGAAGAAGAAGGGAGAAAGGAGTATTCGGGAGGGGTGGGACCCGGTGGGGAAGCAGAGCAGAGGGTACTGAGATCAAATGGACAACTGGGAGGGGGGTGAGGGCTCATATATCTCATAGTGAAAGCCCTGACAACCCCACAAACTTCGACTCTCTTCCTCCTAATTTTGCTTTCTCTCATCAGTGTCTGCGCTTTCTCCCCACTTCTATTTTCCAACTAATTTTATGAGTTTTTCCTCCCTGCCAATACAAAAGGTCACAATAGCATTAATTAACCCTGCATAACAAAACAATACTATGTGAGGCTAGCCAGTGATTAAGAAGTTCCCAATCATTAAGATTTAGCTTTTCTGTAAACGTGATCAATGCTGATGATCCAATTGCGCATAATAACATCCATTATTTCTTATGGGTTAAACTGCAATTTTAACTCAAATCTTATCTTTCAAGTATAATTTTATCTCTGATCTTTTTAGTAGTGCAATTTTACCTTTGATTATTGAGTATAAAATTGCACATGAGAAATAAGATTAGAGGTATAATTGCATTTGAGAAATAAAATCAATGATAAAATTGCACCTTAACCCCATTTTTATTATGACTACCAAACCGGTGATTATAGGAAATCTCATCCCTTGTCAGTGATGAATAACGGTTAATTGTGAAGCAGATATAATTAGGAGATTTTTGTTTTCTTAACAAATCTTGAAGACTTGAAGAGGGTTAGTTTATCAAATAAAATCAGTTGTACGTGAAGACTGAAGGGTGAAATTCTTCTCAATTTGCTTGATCAAAAAGTGGCCGGATAATTTCGGGGAGGCAGACGTTTTAGTTTACCCATTAAAAAAAATATTTTCATGCTCTCAGACACACGAAAAAAAAAACATGAACTTTTCATGCCGCTGATTTAATCTGAATTTTGATATAGCTGATTAATTATTCAAATAGTGACAAAATTTACTTTTTCCCATATATGAAATAATGTTTATTTCCAGTACAATCTCGGATCCTTGTTATAAGTATTCCTGTACAAATCAATATGCTTGAAAAATCTCTTCCATTCCCTCCTTTTAAGGCTAAAATCATTCGTAATTAAAAAAAAGTTTAATTAATTGTCCACTCCATGCATGATCAATTCCCAGCTATTTCAAACAAAGTCGCATTATTTTTCTTTTTAAAAACACACATCCGGATCATATCATCATATATTATAATTGATGATCAGCGGTGCTGCCATGAACAAATTAAATGATCTTGCTTCCAGTTCGTGTTCAATTATAGAATGAAACTCTTCAAAAACGTTACGGTAAAAATTGGAAAAGAGTGGTCCTTAAATCAGACTCCACGAATGTCTAAGGGATTAATTGTAGACATCTCACCTTTTCTTTGCCAGTCTATTCCTTTCTCGTTTTGAACTTTGAATGATATGTACGAACACATGTTTAATTAATTGTCTTGCTTCCTCATTATGAGCCACTTCTTATGATGCCCTTCTTGTTTTCTCCTTCGTTAGCTTGTTTTATCATTAATAATCCTGTGCCAAAATTCACAGTGATATGAGTTTGCCATATGAAAGGTGAAAATAAAGCTCTCTTTTAACAGAATTGATCATGGTCATATATATAGAATCAAAGAGATATGAAGGTGGCGAATAACTTTTGGCCATTATTGTTCATGATAATTAACCACGAATTGTGGATAAATTTATCTGAAAGTACATGCATTATATATACTACTCCTCCAATCCTTAGTATAGGATGTAATCTTTGAGTAGATTTTGATCCTAGATATAAAACATATTTATCATATTTTTTTAATTTTTTTTAAAATTATCTCTATAGATACTCTCTTAACTATAATCAAGTAAGAGTGGAGGGAAGAATATTAAGAAAGATGATCATAGTGTTTTAAAAAAACATGTTATATTTCTTATAATTAACTAATTTATGTAATCTTTTTAATCTAATTAAATTAGTTAGATAGGTCTTATATTAATAACAGGAGGAGTATATCAAGTACCATGTAGTATTTTGATATTATTCACCATTCTTCTGATTTTTTGCAGCATACATGCACCTTGAATCAAGTAAATTTGTGAAAATAATAGTTGAAAATTGTTGTGATTAAGTTTAAAATAATTCGGAAAAAAAAACTTAAGAAATGAAATTATTTTATCGCTGACTAAAGTTAAAACGCGAAATAAGTTTAAAACAATTTAACGTTCCTGGAACTGATTCTTTTCCCTGCTTCTTTCACCAATCCCCTAACTCTCAAGACATGTATTTATAATGGAGTTGAAGAAAAAGCTCTGACTTGAATATCCAATTTTGAACAGCATTATCATAAGGGTCAGAAACTAGAAATGAATATAGCACCTACTCGTATAATTGCAGAACGCAGAAAACTATTATAGGTAAAAACTAAAAACAATAATTTTACCAAAAAAATGCTAAAAACAAAGAAATCTATCTTTTGTCATGCACAAAAGGTAAGGGAATATATCTATCAAGCTGCTGTTTTTTTTTTTTTTCCTTCCTCTTTCACCTGTTTCAATGACTACGCCTATCCAAGTCTCTCTTTATCGTTTTTGTTACCTCAAAAAGTTACCCCTTAATTATTCGGCGAGAGAGAAAAGAGAGGGAAGGCGACCTCTCTTCTTGTTGCTATAAAGTAGTTGTCTGTGAAGAGAATTCTCTTAAATTTTCAGCGAATATTTCATAGAATTCATTCAAAATAGCAATTCAATGATATTATTTTTAGTAACCTTTTCCCTCTTTCTGCAAAAACAGCCTGCTTTATTTATGCATGCTTGACTCGTTTTTGCCATATACCTTATTGATCTCTCACTCAGTCACTCTTCAACTACATCTCACTCTTTCATAATTCTGCACCTTTCTTGGCCATCGACATGTCACCATCCCTATTTTCTTTCCCCCTCATAATTACTTTCTGAGCTGTCATTAAGATAACCAGCTTCCATTGGAAGTACTTGCGATAAATATCTCTATTTCGAATTCATCCATCTGCCCTAGCCTTTATGGCTTTGGCTGTTCTGTTGAATGCCCTTAAAGTGATTTGAGAATTAGGAATGATAATTTTTGAATAATTAAGTTAATAATAACAGAAGTTGGTATGGATGATTAAGGTTGCAGAAGGAAAACGCTAACATCGTCGAGTGTTGAATTCCCTCGATTCTGTTAATTAAGAATGTTGCTTGGTGGACATTTATTAAGAAGATTCTCCCGTATCCAATATTAACAACTAGTTTGGTTGTAATTGGATATAATTAATTACTTATGCTTTCAGGCATGTGTATTAATTAATTTTCTGGGTTAGACCTGTGATGAATTCCCAACATGGCACTAGCGTCTTGTGCCTTGCTTGGTAGGATTTTGGGATTTTCCCTCCCATCCTTAATTATCAATTTTGTCCAGCCAGAATGGAAAAAAAAAAATTGAGTTGAGATAATATGTTGTATTTTAAAAGTTACATCTGAACTCTAGCAAATTAAGTGGGCCTCTTTCTTAGCTTCTTCTTTAAAGAACCTATATATCTCCCTTTCGCTTAAACCTAACAAGAAGCATGCAAGTAATTTCTTTGCCAATAGGGTCACCCTCATGAAAGGCTTTGAGGGAGGGGACCATAAGTAACAGATGGGGTTTCAATGCAACTGAACCACTTATGTGTGCCCTAATAAAGTAGAAAATTATCTGATGTGAACAGGAGCATTTGCTATTTGCTTTGCCTCTTGATTTGGCAACATCGTTAGTGACATTTCATGACTCTCAATTTTTTTCCAAAGAAAAAAAGGACATGCTTTTTACTAGCTGTTATGTAATTTGGCATTTTGGTGATGCAATGACGAATAAGCATCACGTGTCCATTATTAAATTTTTTGACCTACTTCAAGCTACCTCTATCCGTACATCTTCAGGATACACACACAGAGCATATTCTTCATACTGCTGATTATTGTAGCTTAATTAATTTTACGACGACATCCTTGTTCAAATCGTTATCTATATCATCAAAAGCGATGGTAGGGACCTGATATTGGTCTGTGTTGTACTTAGCTTAATTTCATCAAGCAATTACAATTCCCACATAAATGATCATTTGTGATTGTACTGAATTGATCCCACTTGATGAAAAATACACAGGAGAAGAGTAAATCTAGCTAAATAAATCATATTTAATCATGAAGACAACATGTCAATTAATAACTGAATTAATTACTAGAGCGACTAATAACTTGAAATTATTAACACGAAAAAGATAACGAGAGAGAGAGACTTCAAAATCATTAACTTAAAGTGCAAGATTTCATATGCAAACAGAGAGAACGACAATGTAAAATATACCTGACATGCATTACAAGACGAATCCATATGGAGAATAGTTGAGAAACTAGGTAGTAGCTAGTCAGGTCTCATTAATTACTTGACGTCCCTGATGGAAAACCCCAAGACATGTGACCACGTATGAGTCCAAGTTCAGTGCTCCATCGGCCACCACCACCACCTCCAACAAAAAGAGCCCACACAGAACTGATCGAGGATATTGAAAACCCTGGCTGGTGGCTAGCCTGGCAAGGCATATTGGTTTGGCTAGGTCGAGAGATTTAATTCAATTCTGGCGCCTTGTTTCTTTGCACATATATATATATTATCAAATCGTCCCTTCTTAGCTTTATTTCAACCGCGTTGGTTAATAATATTTGGCGTATCCTATGGGAAGAACAGAAGTGTCACTGTCCACTTGTTCCCTATCTCTCTTCAGTCTTCCTTCGACGTGTCTTTATATCAATTAACGTCTTTCGGTTTCAATCTTCAAGGTTCTAATTAACATCCGAAGTAGGGTTCATTTGTGGGCATCATTTTATACTTCTGATGGAGAGAGTTTTTTCCCCAGAGCCCCTATCTTATTTTTCTCCATTGTTTACCCTGAAATAATTAACTACGGAGAAAGATTAAACTTTGTCTATATAATACCTCTTCTGTTAGTGTTTGGGATAGAGATTTCTCACTGAGCCTTATATTTCGATAAAAAAAAATATTTTTAAGTATTATATATTAAGTGCATAAAT